TCCTATACGTGCAAACATATGATATTTGTCCTTCTCTGCCTGACTTATTTCGCTCAGCATAACACCCTCAAGGTCCATCCATGTTGCTACACGGGGCCAGATTTCATTGTTTCTCATTGCCATGTAGTATTCCATCGTATAGATAAACCACATCTTGATCCATTCGTCTGTTGATGGACACTTAGGCTCTTTCCATGTTTTAGCTATTGTGGAGAGTGCTGCTATGAACAATGGGGTCCATGTGCCCCTATGCATCAGCATTTCTGTACGAAGGGATCTGTTTCTTGACAAGGTTTACTAATGTGTCAGTACAAGTGAGGCAGTCCCAAAAGATTAACTGTGTGTGTGTGTGTGTGTGTGCGCGCGCGTGTGCGTGCGCGCGTGCGCGCATGCATGAATATGTGCACACAAAGGTTGCAGTGGTGACCTGAGCTGCTCTAATGCAGTTGTAAATGTGTCTGGTAACTTATAAGCTATCCTGTAAATTATAACCATTTTCCAATGGAAAGGGTGGAACTGTGGTGTGCCACCTCTAGGGAAAAAAAAGACCACTCTGATGGTTTAGAAGAGTTTAAAGTCTAGGATGAATGCACTTTTCAGAAAGGATTTTCCTTTCTTTTCTAGGGCTGTAGGGTCACTATAGGTTTAGGATCTCCTTAAATCAACCTCAAGGGATCCCTCGAGGCAATGCTAACTGCTTATCGACTGCATCAGTTGGTTTCCCTGAGTTTAAGCCCTTCAAGTCCCAGTTTATTGTCAGATGAGTCTAGAATCTGCACTTTGGGTGGACCCTGAGCTTTGATATTTGGCTTTTGGATCCATTAGGCTGTCAATAGAAAGTTCAGTGCTAAAGCACTTTCTGCACTGGCTCATTTTCTTATATACTCTTTTGCTTACCATGATAATTCCTATCTTGTCTGCTTTCTGATGCTTTTAAGCAATTTTATAAATATATTTTATCCAGCATTTTAGATTGTTCTCAATGGGAGGGTTGATTCAAATCATCTAGCCTATTATTTTCAGAAGTTGGGTATTATGAGAGTAGCCTCTGTCTCTGTAGTTGAATTTTGTGAAAAGAGATTGAAGTTTCTATACAGTATTCCACCCATATTTTGGGGATTCGTGTGGTATTTGCAGCTCCAGGTCCATTTTGGTGGGAGACGGGAGCTGCAGAGCAATTTCGAATTTCATAAGGCTCAGTTTTACCCCACATCGTCTCACTATGACGTAGAATGTCCACATAATTTATCATCCCAACTGCGATACCTTTGAGAGTGGAAGGGGGCGCTATCACAAATACTGCCTGTGCAGCAAGTACAAAGGCGAAATTTTTCAGGATTACCAGGAATAGGGCAACTCTACTATCAGATCCAATGGAAATGCATTCCTGATCTAATTCTCCTTCATATACATGTATTTACAAAACAACTGTTTATTGGCCAGGGAACATCAGTTCACAGTGTGGAAAGCCTGCTTGGTAAACCCAAAGTTGTCTAGCTGTCTGTTCTTCTGGGTCTCTCGTCAATAGCTTGTCTGAAGGGCTTCCTCCACGTTGATGCAAACACCTCACAGAGGTAGGATCTGTGAGCCTTAGAGTCTGCACCAGGCCTCTAGAAATCAAACCCTGCCAGGGTCTGGACCTGAGACCATTTAGAGACTAAGCCTCCGGCAGCATCCTTCAAGATCCAGACCATAGATTCCACTAAGTTTTCATGCTCTGCCTGTGGGCAGGGTGGAGTGGAGCATGTCTAAGGATGTTAGCTAACCTGCTTGTCTTACCTTCTTATAGTTTCACCAGTGAATGCCTGTTTCTGACATTAGAATGTCAATTAGCAAAGCCTCTATATAGGGACAGCTGAAGAGCTTGTAATAAGTGACTCTGAATTATGGCCTTTCTTATGTAGTGCTGGCCTCCCATCCCTGAGGTACGGGTGTTAGCACCACCGACTGGTCCTCAAGGCGAAGCTTTAAGTGGCTTATATATATTATTACATCCATTCAGTATATA